CAATGCGCCTACGCGTACACTTCCACCACTGACCCGCATCTCCCTTCAGCTAGAAGGATGCAAAGGTCACTCTCAAGCTGTTGTCCTCAATGCCAAGCATCTCGGATGTCTTCACCATCTACTCTAGTTACTTATCTGCCTTCAGTGGCTCTTTCGGATCTCCCAAAAACTCATCTGGATTCAATCGGAAGAACTCCCTCTTCAGAAATGATGGCCCTGTCTCAGCAACATGAGTCTAGACTTGATTCTCAACCCTAAGAATATCCATGGGTTCCCTCAAAGCACCAGCCATTTCCTAGGCCAAAGCACTACGGCCTACTGATCAACTGGATCGGCCATGTTGGCGTGATCAACTCCTTCCTGTTGGGCCGAAATATCATCCAGTAACAACACCTCTTATTGCCTAGGCCTACCACGCCGACCACCACTACGTCCACGTTCTAACATCCTAATAAATGTAACGCAACAGATTAGCACATTTACAAATGTGCCAAAGCTAATTCATTCACGTCCTAATGTGGTGGACAACAAATAATTCACTCCACTTAAGTATATAACCACATAAACAGAAACGAATTTCCTTTCTAGATAGTGACCGTTCCATGACATTGCCAAATTTCCAGTTAGAAATGGCAGTGATCAAGTACTTTTCTAACAGGACATCCAGAAACTCGTAGACCCGATCAATATCTAAGAAATTAAACTAATACCCATATAGCCACATAAGCATGTTATCACATAGCATACCAAGTTTATTTCTAATATCATCTAGCAAAAGAACCCATTATGGTAAAAAATCACATCCCACGATCCCAAAGTATTCTAACTCGGTAGCTCTGATACCAAGTTGTAATGCCCCAAAAATAATTGAAATTGAACCCAACTCATACCAATGATACAATATATCAATAATCTCATATCTTCTATTCAATTTATCTTTGATCATTACAAAAGATGACATATGCAATATATATTCATAAATCCTAGATTCTAAATCTATAGCATATAGTATAGAGGAAATTAAAATCAAATAAAGAAATGCCCTAATGACTTACAACTTTTCAAGACAATGCTTGGTTACAACAAAATGAGTTTAAACTTAATATAAGTAAAGCCTGAGTCTTGAACAAAATATTTATATCAAGGAACAAAAAGGGAAGCGTTCAGCTCCAGGTCCTCCCAATCTATGTCCTTCGCGGAGGCATATCATCAGCACCTAAAAGTTATTTTCCACATAGGGTGAGCCGAAGCCCAGTAGAGATACTCTAATACAGTATATGAATTTTAGCAAAAATTATAAGGTAAATGCATAATGCATGCCATTTTCCAAACTTTTTTTTTTCCATCCCAAAACTATGCCATGCCGAATTATATATCAATTCACGAAAATAGTCATTTTTTACAGAAAACAGGGCAGTAGATACAGCACACTGGGAATCTCTAGGTACGTGTCTGCAAATAGGCTATACAAGCACTACCATAGCAATTTTACCGGTACAAACCGAAAGGATCGACACCTAACTGCGCGGATTTCTAGACTTTCACCAATGGCACACAGGCTGACATAATAAAACCACAACCACACCCCCTAGACAGATTAACCACAGTATTCACCCATTTTTCTCCAAAAACAAATACATTTACAAGGTTCAATGTATAATGATGCACAATGCACAATGGATGAGCAATTTGTTTCAATTTAACTTAATCCTCATGCAATGTCTATAACAATAAAGACTATCCTCCACCAATAGCCCAAAACTGATATTTATATTCCATAGATAAATCCCAATCAAAAGATACATTTTTATCAATTACAATGGGAGTGATATTACATATCCAACTCCACCATCATTATCAACATAAACTTTGTTCCAAATTCACAATACCCAACAACATTTTCCATTTTCCTTCACAATATCCAAATATTCAAAATTAGGGCAAAATCCCATTTCCTCACAAAAGCAATTTTAAGAAAAGATTTCCATCATCTCAACTTAAATCATCCATAACAATCTTCCCATAACCATTTTCAAGAATCAATTTGGAAAACCCCTATTTTGATTTCAAATCAGACCCTAGGTTTTACCAAAAGTTCTGAAATAACTAACCCTTTTTCAAAGAACAAATAAGTAAGCTAAAAACATATAGAATAGTCAAAGAAATCCCTACCTCAAAGTAGAAGACACGAAGAAACAATGGGTAGAACTTGACAGAGCCAAAAACACAAACTTCACCGATTAAAACGAGGTCCTCAATGTGCTCAATCTTTTATTCCAAAGGGCTAGGGTGAGGAATCTCTTGGATTGAGAGTATTTGAGGTTAAAGATCAAGAACTAGAGAGAGAGAGAGAGAGAGAGAGAGCGAAAGAGCATGTCTAGGGTTTTGAAATGTTTAGAGAGAGAAAGAGATGAAAAAGTGATCCAAAAAGGCTATCTCTCAGACTGATATACGTGCAGACTGCTCGAGTGCAAGAATGGTCGCTCGAGCGACAGAAACAATAAGTAACACAGCCCAAGTGGCCAAAACCATTGCTTGAGCGCACAATGACCCCCTCCCAGTAGTTCATACCTGTAAAAGTTCGCTTGAGTGCTAGACAAGTCGCTTGAGCGTAGATATCAAACTCTCAGTAGTTTTACAGACTGTAAAAGACCGCTCGAGCACAGGAATTGTCGCTCGAGCGAACAAGCCAAAATTTAGGCAACAACACTTTGAAAAACTAACTTCCCAACTTGTTTCAAACACAACTAAATCTCCCAATAGCCAGACTCAACAAGTATTAGGATAGAAAAGAGATGAACAACAGTTAAGTACACAGTTCTCGGATCGAAAAGCAATAAAAGGGTCAGGTTTAAACCAGAATCGTTATAATTATCAAGTGCTACACTATTGAAAGAATAATCAATCAAATTATGAAGGAATCATTCACCCAAATCATGAGCTATGAACAATGTCATGGAGAAATAATAGTAACTTACTGTATCAACCACTATAATCACCTCTACAGCAACCGTGGCTTCCACTAAACCCAAAAGTCACTATATAAATAGGATTGTAAACAAGACAAGTCGAATCGAGCTTTAATATATTTGGACTTGTTTATTAAGATTTTAACGAGTTAGAACTCGATCTCGATCTCAATCTCAATAAAAATTTAACAAACTGAGTTTGAGTTTGAGTCAATTGAGTTGGCTTGATCTTGACTCAAACTCAAACCTGTTCACGAGCCTCAATGAGCTAAAAAATTTATAAATTTATAGTTGCATATGGTTACAATTAAACACTACAAAAAAATACACTTTTGGCGACTAATGTTTTAGTCGCCAAAAGCCCAGATTTTAGTCGCCGAAAATATTTGCCGACCAAAAACTTTGGTCGCTGGCTTTGTCGCAGATGCATTGTCGGCGAACGTATTGGCGACTAAAACAAATTTTAGTTGCTAAAAATCCACCAGAATTGGTGACTAATCTGTTAGTAGCCAAAACGGACAGTAATTAGCGACAAACAAGGATTTAGTCGCTAAAAATCCAACATAATGCCGACTAATTTTTAGTAGGCAAAAGAAGAAGCTATTACCGACTAACGCTGCTTTAGTCGCTGATGAGTCCTATTAGAGACTAAGATATTAGTCGCCGAAAGGGTCATTTTTAGCTACTAAAGATTTTGTCGGGGAAAGCTTCTTCTAGTTTAGCTACTACAGGTTTTAGTAGCGAAAACTGTTTTCAGTTTTTAGCTACAAAACAATTAGTCACCAAAACTATTTTCTATTCATTTTAGCTACTAAATATTTAGTCGGCAAAAGATATATTTATTTTTTTGGGAGTCCATGGAACAGTTTCATCACAGTTTGGTAGAATGTCTTTGAAAACTTGCATAACCATGTCGAAAGATTTGTTGCTCCATTTATTGTACACCTTCACATGAAGCATCTTAATTACGAAGGACAAGATGGAGAACTTTTCACAGTCTGGATATACTTTGCGTTGAGCATCATATTATCATCCATGAGACCACTCATGTAAATCTCTTCTAACATGGTAGGAAGTTCATCCACATTTTCGTGATTGTCAGTCATTCCAGGTTCATTGGTTTCGGTATCATCGTTTCGCATACTAGGATGATCACGAAACATGGGAGCACGTTCCCCATGGTGCACCCAAGTTCGATAAGAAATTGTGATTCCTCTTCGAATCAAATGCAACCGTACAACGTGTCGACTAAATTTTGTGCCGTTCAAGCAATCAACACAAGGACAACGGATCTCATCCTGCGGCCCTAAATTCTTTGTAGCGAACTCAATAAATGACTGAACACCCTCTAAATACTCTTTACTTTTTAGCCGATCTTGTATCATCATCCAACTCTTATCCATTATTGGAACAGTACACCTCAACCAAAGATGAACCTGGGAACGGACGGGAACTTGGAAAAATACTCTGTAATGGAAGAGAGCTTAAGTAAATTTAAGGGTTCGATTAGCATTGCTTGTTGATGTTTACCGAAATAGTAATGACATATCTGGCTTTGTTCTACATGCTGACATGAATCATTTACATGCCTATTTCTCAGCTGCATAGAGTTGGCTAATTTCAGTAGTAACTCGGTATGTATGCATACGCTAATGTGACATACATGAACAATTCTATGTCAAGTCATCTTACAGGGAGATATATAATTTATATGTAACAAACATTATACTGAATTCTATATATTTGTTCCAATCAGTAGCAAAATCATTTTAAAATTCAAGAAAAATATTAGACATTTACTACATGGTGTAAAACATAGATGGACACTTTACAATAATAATTTTACTCCATCATTTGACTGTATGATGAAAGAAATGAAGAATTTTTTTTGTCAAAGTAAACCCGAAAGTGGGGAAAAAGTATATCATAAATCATCAGTAAAGCTGGTAAAGCAGACAAAGTAAACAATAAACTGTCCAATAGCACAGTTTCATGTGTTAAATGCAACTCAAAATGGAGCAAAAAACTAACTTTTAATGATCTACTAATCTTTAAACAAACTTCATGAGGTAGATATGAGTATACACGCTTTGTTTTCCGCCTCACTTTGAACTTTATGTCTAAATTGTCTACTTCATCATCTTCCTTTACTTTAAATAGAGAACTGAAAAAGCATACACATATAAATGAGCTTTCAATAGACAGACATTAAAAGTAGATACATTTCAAAAACACTATACAATTCAAAGAACAACCTGTTTCTTAACCTAAATACATATTTAAAAAAAAAAAGTTTATATCATTGTAAGTTGAAATGTCAATGTTTTGGCATCGAAATGACAATTGGTGTTTTGAAATTTATGCTTATCCGTCAGCATAATTAACTATAGAAAAATCAAACATAAAATAAATATAGATAAATTTAAAATTGCAACTTTTCTTTAATTTATTGTTTTTATTTTTTATCACATGACATTGCAAATCAACACTATAAATCCAAGCAGGCACATTTATCAATTGGAAGGTATTATTGAGTCAGTCTAGTAACATCAATTGTTCTAGCACTGTTTTCAATAGTTAAGAAATAAATGATCTAATTTTTAACTAGTGTCATGGACCCAGTGATAATAAATGATCAAATTACACACAACAAATTTGTGTTTTTTGAAATTCATGTACATAGTGAGAATACAGATAATTAAGTGATTCAAACAAATGAAAATTGAAAATTTACTCAAAAAAAGCGGGAGATGAAACATTGGATTTAACTACAGAAATTACATGTAACAGAGAGTACGTATTTGTAGCATTGGAAATCAAACAGATAAGTTACTCCAAGTCTACAATCCCGAAAATGGAGAGAAGAATGTTTACTTGATCAACGAAGTCTGAGCCTGTTGCATACTCTGTTAGCATCCCAACAGCAAAACCAAACATTGCCCATCTGCTCAAAAAATAAATGAATAAATAAAAATACAGAAAGATGAAAAATCCCAGGTTAAGAAATTGACTTGCCTCGCAGAATATTGAATTGATTTGTGTATGGAAGCAAAAATTATATTTAGAAACAATTTGAGCGACTAATCTATACTCCAAATTAGATGAGTTTGTTCAAACCAATGTAGGACAAGAAAATCAGCAATAAAACTTCAATAGTTGTCAAACATGCTCTGTGTATAGCCATCCACAAGTAGCATTGGAATTCAAGAGTGATGGATTGTAATCAGTGTATACCCATACCGAAAAAACCTAATAAAGAGGATTGAAAATAGATAAGCCTCTTGAGTCCAAGATGTAAAAGAACCAACCTGGAGGGGGATACAAAAAAGCTACCCTCGCAGGTGATTTCATGAAACAAAGAAAACAAAAACAAAAAAATAAAAATAAAAATAAAATTGATGTCTAGTGTGAAAACACCTGGCTTTCGAGAAATACCACTGAAGTTTGTTTTTTTTATTTTCTGAAACACAAAAACAAACCCAAAAACTACAATACTTTGAGAAACAGATGATTTGCAGAAAGGGATACAGAGAAGCGGGGATGATACAGAAGGGGGGGAGAAAAGAAGTAGCAAACTTAATACCTGTAATCAGAAGCGGGGATGATACAGAAGCGGGGATACAAAAAAGCTACCCTCACGACCTCTTTCTCCAACCTCACGAAATCAGAAAAAGCCCTAAATACCTGTAATCAGAAAAAGCCCTAACTTAATCAGAGCTTTGATTACGAAATCGATAGAGAGGGAGAGAGAACATTTCAAAAACATTTCGATAGAGAGGGAGAGAGAAATACCACGTGAGCCACGGGGATGGAGAGGGAGAGAGATACAAACAGACAGACACAGATCGATAAAGAGGGAGAGACAAATACCTGTAATCAGTGGTGGGCCGGACTGCAATGTTCGTGGTCGCGAGCGCCGGTGATGAACGACGGTGGCCAGCGGCGCAGAGCTTTGGTATCGACTGCTCTGTGGTGTGTGTCAAACAGAAGACAAATAATCCTTTGTTAAATGTAGGCGCCAATATTAATGAGTTTCCCTCTAAAAAAACATTTCCAAACTTCAGCGACTAAATATTTGTTTTGGTCGCCAAAAAGCATAAAAATTTCTCCCATTTTTTTGACGACAAAACGTTTTTGTCGCGAAATGTTATCATACGGCGACGAAATTGAACTTTGGTAGCGTAAAGTGGTTCAAAGCAGCGACTAAAAACAAATTAGTCGCCAATAACACTGTATGGCGACTAAAAACTTTGGTAGCTAAAAATACTAAATGAATGCCGACTAAAAATGGAAGTTTGGTCGCCGAACACCCTGTTTTTGGCGACTAAAATTGGTTTGGTCGCCAATTTTAGTCGCCAAATGTACGGTTTGTTGTAGTGATTTCATTTTGCTCTTAACCACCACATTCTTCTTTAGACCTTAAAATTTGCAATCAATGGCCACCAGGGTAAAAACACTTCGACAATCTTTGGGTGAAAAGTTCTAGAACCAAAGTGGACATATATATATGATATTTATAAAATTATTTTTCAAATCCGACGCACAAATTTGATCCTTTCATATCCTGTCTCTAATCAGCAATCTCCCATAAAATGTTGTCACTATCTTTAGTACTGCAAACGAATGAAATTAAATGGGTGTTTGGATTGATTTTTTTTCTTGATTTTTTTTTATCTTCTTCAGAAACTTTATTTTATTAAAAAAAAAAAACATCAAAAAAAGTTATACACGGACCAAAAAAATTTAAAAATTCAATGAAGACAAATTTTTTTTTTTTTAAAAAAAAGACTTTTTAATTAGATGTCAAACCATCCGTTAATTGTCAAAAGATATGAATCTCATATAGGTAGCCTAATACTATCCCTATTTTATTTTATGTGATCATTTTTGTAAAAGATGCACATTTTAGTTTATTTAAAATGTAAAAATATAATAAAATAAAAATAAATTTTAAAAAAAATTCAAAAAAAAAAAATGACTTTATGATTAGATGCCAAACCAAGCCTAATATTACTCCGTGTTATAGTTTATGTGATCATTTTTATAAAAGATGCACATTTTGATTTGTTATTCATTTGAACTGCATTAATTCAAGTAGAACTATTTCTAATTTAATATAGTTCTTTATTTTGTATGTATTGAACAAATTCAACAATGTAGACTCTATTAGTAGTTTTGAGAAATTCCTTTGAAATTGATTTACATTTACTAGAATAATTTTTATCTAAATACTTTAGTAGCATAATGACCAACATTCAAATGAATAAGTTTTTTTCTTCTTCATAATTTAGGAAAAAATCACAAATGCTTTAGAAGGGAGCAATTGTAATACATTGACGTATTAAGTGGTCAATTAATAAAAAAAATGTTTGGCTATCTAATATTTTGATTTTTAATAACAAAGCACATTAATAACCCATCTAAAAATGGTAATGAGATATTTCAATTTGAAAGAAAGAAAGTTGTCTAAAATATAATTAAATTTACGTAAGCTAAAGCTTGGCAGGAGGTTTTGGAACTAACGAGTTGACCATAAGGCAACCTTTGCAAAATTCAGAACAATCAAGACTATGGTTCAGGAGGCAGAGTCCCATTGCGGGTCTGGGGCAGCGCCACGGCGAGGTTGAGAGGCCGCGCCCCCGAAGCAAAAAGCAAAAACGCAGCCGAGGTTATTTGACTGCTTGAGCGGTCGTTTGTGCGCTCAAGCGAAGAATCAAATCATCTAGTATTTTTGCAGAGCGCCTGAACTTTTAGGATGTAAATTTTATCGCTCGAGAGATGAAAGTTGCGCTCAAGCGGTTAGCCTATATGTTTCGCACTGTTTTTAGTCACATCGCTCGAGCGGTAAAAGTTGCGCTCGAGCGGTCTCTACGATTCTATTTTCTATAAAATGCGTTGTTCGCTGCTTCTAGGATTCAGGCCATCCAAATTTTCAGAAAGGAACAAGACACAAAGTGTTTTATATTGGAGGGTGTTTTATGAGTGCTTCCTTGATGATTTAAGAGTGCTCAATTGATCTGTGACCTTCTTATTAACATCATCAAGCGTTTGTTTGTTTTGTTTATTCTAGTGCTCAATTGATCTGTGAACTTCTTATTAACATCATCAAGCGTTTGTTTGTTTTCGTTTATTCAAAAAGAGAGAGGGTTGTTCTTCGGTAGATTCTGTGGAACTTGGGCTTGAAGCTTTTGTAGATTCCAGAGTGACTCATCGTCGTAGATTCGACATTGGCGTTGTGGATTCAATATTGGGCAAAACAATTATGAGGTGAAGACGGGGCTGGAAGAGGCACATAGGGGTCTGTTCAATTTAGGCGTGGATTCACTAGGTGATTGATGGTACACTTGTGTAATTTCTTTTTGTCTTCTTAGTGGATTATTTTGTGACTTTTGCCCATGTATTTTTTTTTTTTTTTTTTTTTTACAATTGGAGTCACTCCAATTGTGGATCTTTTATGTAAAATCGTTGTGTCGATTTGTTTTTGATTGTTTGATTGAAAGTACTATTTACTGATTAAAACTGATAGATAATTACAAATTAATATCTCGGGAATTTAAGTTTCATATTACATAGTCTAAAGTTTCATTATTATTTGCCACATCAATTAGTAAAACAAAACTTGTAATTTTTTGTAGTTTTTGTAACATTTTTTGATCAACTTGGGTACTTATAAAGCCAAACCTTATAAAAAAAGAAAAAAAGAAAGAAAAGAAAAGAAATAGATATAAAATTGAGTTTGTGAATTATATACAATCCCCAGAAATAAAATAGAATGAGCACTGGTATTTTGAAATTTCTTCACAAAAATGAACTTGGGCGTGGTGAAAAAAAAAAGAAAAGAAAAAAAGAAAAAAGAAAAAGAAAAAGAATTTGGGCCCTTTGAACTCAGCCTTTAGGGACAAATAATGGGCTTGGGCACAGAATTGGTATTGGGCTAAAACATCATAACCAAACCAACCTTTTGATTGGGCTTGGTTTGTTGACATGTACAATATGGAGCAATTTGAGGACTTGGTAAAAATCTAACTTTTTGACTTTTTATCATGTTCTTCCAAAAAAGTCACCAAAAAAGTCAATTTTTTTTGACTAAAAATGCCGCCAAAAAAGTCAAAAAAACTAATTTTTTACCAACTTTGCAAAACAACCTATGTTGATTTGCTGCAATAAAATTTGTATTATAAATAGAGGTCTGTGTCCTATGGATTGGACTTACCCAATAAGTTATTCCAAATTAATAAGCTCATATTTTTTATTTTTCATTCACAACCCTACTGTTAACTCACAAATTCACAATTCTCAACTTACACCAATTCTCACAATAAATTCATTGATTTTTAAAAGATTCTAACATCAAAAAGTACGATTTGTAGGATATATATGTTCATACAAATCTCACTCAGTACTTATTAGATAATAACTCTAACCTATATGTCCGACTAGTAATTTTTCAACATAATAATAATAATAATAATAAAAAAAAAGGTTGGAAGTATCACAGTTATTCATACATATGGTGAGATAGTGTAGCAACTCCTTATATTAGGAGGGTTTTTTTTTTTTTTTTGGGTGAATGAGTCCTCATTTTAATTAAAAAATAGAAATAGGATGTTTGTTGAAGATTCTTGATGGAATTTAATTAATCAACAATGCTAGGGATACTAACATATTTACTAATAATATTACTAACACACTCTCCTCTGTATCCTTATTATGCATAGTTACTATTCACATTCTATTTTGCTCCAAATACACTTCCTTTTATGTATAACGAAGAAGATAATGTATTTGAATAAAATGGAATGAGAATAGTAACTCCCATTAAAAATAACAAGATTATATGTAATATGAGAATTTTTATTTATTTTTATTTTTGACAATGTGTACAAGGAGAATAAAGGAATGAGAATTCACATAACAATATGTGAAAATTAGGACAAAAAAATGCGGCTTTGAAATTCATTTTTGTGAATTGTTACATGTCATATCCTTTGACTTCATAAATATATAAAAACCAAGTTAATATCTGTGTTATTTATTTATTAATAAAACCGAAAAAAGTAAGGTCCATATCCTGCTGTAAAGTTGGTTGTTGGCTTTTTTTCAGTGAAATGGGGTTGTCGGCAATGCGGTGCCTCTGACAGTGGTTTTTCCTACTCCATCAAAATGAAAACAAAAACAGAAAGTCAAAATGCTGCAATGTCCTCCAACAAATCTAATAAATGATTTCACAAAATGCAACAAAAATAAAAATGAAAAAGTAAGGGTTGTCGGCAATGTAGTGCCTTTGACAATGGTTTTTCCTACTCCATCCAAATGAAAACGAAAACAAAAGGTCAAAATGCTGCAATGTCCTCCAACAAATATAAATAAATGATTTCACAAAATGCAGCAAAAATAAAAATGAAAAAGTAAGCCCATATCGTATAATGTAGCACAAGATTTTTGGAAAATCTTACTGTGGAACTTTTTATTTAGATGCAACAAGGCTATCTTTTTCAATGTACGTATATAATGACGTTTTTGTCACAGATGATATACATATTTAATTAGACTATTTGTGTGATAATGAAGCCCTCTTAATTAAAGATTTTCTAAAATTATACTTGGTTAATTTAATTGTTACGCATGTTGATCAGTTTAGTGGTCAGAACTTGTCTTCCTCACACACAGATAAATATCATTTTTTCTGCAAGAAATGGTGATTGTTGAACATCATTTTTTATTTTTTAATTTTTACAGGAAAATGACCAAGTGCAAAGTCTTGGTGAATGGAATCTTGCAAGTTTCAATTTATCCTCACTTTAGTGGCATTTATTTTCTTTGCTCTTGACTAATTATAAGATGTAGCCTTCTTTACCGTGGATGACCCCATCTGTCTTATTGTCTTGAGAGATGCCCCTTCTATATATATATATATATATATATCAATGTGCATAGTTCATGGAATACATATTATGATTAGTTTCAATGCAGCTTATACTTGGGAAATTAATTTCTTAGAGGTCACTCCTAAATCATTTTGAGAAAACAAGAACTCACATAATTCTAATCACTTATGCTGTGTTTGGTTGGGGTTTTTGGGGTGGGATTTGGAAAAGGAATGAGAAATGTAATCCTATTTATGTTTGGTTATAATAAAAAATATATGGGAAAAGAAAGGGGGTGAGAAATAAATAAAGAAATATGAGACCTTTTAGGACATCAATTCTATTTTATAACCAACACAACCAAACATAGTTGGGATTTGGAATTCTATTAATTCTTTCTCCTTTTCCTTTCATTTCCATTTCCCTTTCCATTTCCCTTCTCAAATCCCCTAACCAAACACAGCGTTACTGAAAAGGTTAGTACTTATCTCAAAGTTGTAAATCTTATTGTTCAAAGAGAAGAAAAATACATAGATCTAAAAATGTAAATAAGGCAATTAATTAAGCCAAGAAGTCAATTTCAACACGGTCAAGGTCCCCAAGAAAAAAATACAAGTAGAAAGTAGGTATAGAAAGCCAATATTTGTACAGTACATATTTATATATAATGTACACTTCTGTATCTGTCAACTACAAAATGAGTCAATTATACATACATGCTCTTCACAATGGTGGCCATTTACCATTACCAACCTAATTCGCGTTGACTTTTGTGCCAACAACATCTTTAAGTACACAACACAAACTACATATAAGGATGATGGTGACTGGGAACAACTCTTTAAATATGTATCTTTTTAAATTAAATTATATTAAGGGGTTGTTTGGGATAAACTAAATAAGTGTACTTTTTGAATTTTTTGATAAAAAAGTAGAGGAAAAAAAGATAGTTATTTGGGACAACTTTTTAACTTTTTACGAAAAAATATATATTAAAATATTGTATAAAATAAGAAAATTACCATATTACCCCTAAACATATAAATGCATATTGACATCCCTTGTACCATGAAGCCAGTACTTTATGCTGCATACTTCAGAACTGGACGGTGCCTCCACTCCGAGCACAACACAGGACAGTACTGTTCAACTCGTGGGGGCCCACCACGGGTCCTGTTTTCATAATCAGAACCGTTCAATGTGTAAAATTCATCGAGTACTATATGTTCATCAAAAATCAAGTTAATCGGATATCGATAGTTATCTGATCAAATTAGTTTTTTGTCAACCGTTAATTTGTTCAACATTTATTTTTTTATACAAAACTTGTTTGATCATATAGTTATCGATATCCAATCAACGTGATTTTTAATAGGCATATAGTACTCGACAAGTTCTACACATTGAACGGTTTAGATTATCAAAACGAGGCCCGTGATGGGGCCCCACTGGCCGAACAACACCATCTTGTGTTGTGCACCGCCTGTGTTATTTGTACCATCGTTTGAGACTTTTTTTTTTTTTAGCAGACAACACTTCAGACTATACCATTGTCATGTCATAGAAAGTTGGCTTGTATTTTTTTTTTGTGTAAATTTATTTTTATTTTTTTTGTGAATAGTGATAACTTTTTGACTTTTCGTCTTTTTTTATAACATGCCAAACCAGCCCTAAATATTATTATTTTTATGGAAAAAGCTTTGTAGCTCGAATTTTTTTGACTCGATAGGCCTAAAATCTAAAATTCCAGATTTTCTCTCTCCTCCTAGTGAGTCAAATATAATATAATATATCAGTATTTTCTCTCTCCTTATACCTTGTTTTCTGTCTCCCTCTATTCGAAGCCAAAAACCATTGAAACAAAAGCTCTTCTCAACGCCATAAGACGCCAGGCGAGGGTCCACGATCTGCAATTACTCAACTAAACATAATCAACCATCAACCCCATCAATTAAGATGCTAACATTGTCCTTGGCAATCGCGGATTGGTCGAGAATGAGAATGGCCTCTTCCTTGAGGGAATGGACGTAAGTAATTCGTTCAACAAAAAGAATGAGCAAGTGAATTCTAGGAGTGAGAGTCTTCACGTACTTGTCGAATCGTCCGACCACATTGGCCTTTTTCTCAAGGACTATCCGGATGCCCCAATTTACAGGAGGTGGAATTCAATACCTTTTTTAACTCGTAACCACCAAAATCACAAACCAAACGATTAGACATTATTATTGAACAACTCTATGTTTGTGTATGTACGTTTGAGTACTATTTAGTCCTACCTCATATTGGGATCGAAAGAGGTGCAGAAATGGCGGAGGGAGGAATGGAGAGATTGAGAAAGAAGTGGAGAGAGATTGAATAGAGATGAAATGGAGAGGTCTCTACAAGTGATGATGGCCGATAGGCGGAGGTGTCTCAATGACATGAAGGAGTTAATGGATCTTGATTTCGTGATACTCATTGTTGATTTGATTATGTGAATTTTGAATCGTTTGAGACTGGATTGAGTTTGGAATTTTCAACTGTGTTTATGTGTGTTTGGGGAAGAAAGAGAGAGAAAGAGAGAAGGAAAATGGTGAAGAAAGAGAGGGAGGGTTTGGGTGGTTTGGGTTTGGGTTTACACAAATTTCTCAGTTGAGAATTGAATACAAAACAAAGCCCTAGTAAAACTCAGTAGTAGTTAGTTATCAACCTTGGAAGATACTCAGTCAGTATAAAAAGATTTGGTAGACTCCTCATCTTCTTCCACTATGAACAGAGCACAATGTTGATGTCTACACACAACAACAGTGGCTGCGGCACACACACAGCAACAGCACCCGGATTGATGCTCAGCGGCAACACTATTCCGGTCCTTTCACTGTTCTGATCGGTGCTCAACGGCAGCACTGTCGCTAAGTTACGAAGAAGTCTTCACTCTGTTCTTTTCTTTTCTTTTCTTTTCTTTTCTTTTCTTTTCTTTTGAACTGAAATGAGAGTTGAGTTGAGCATACGCACACACCAAATAGAAACTCAAAATCGGGCCACTCGAACCACAACTTATTCGAGCTACGTGGCAGAGCAGTGTTTTTATATCAAGAATTCTAAAGTAACAGTGTGCCTATCCAATAATGAGAAAATATGCATTTACATGACCCAAAAAAATATGAACAATATGAAAAAAAAAAAAAACACAAAACACATAGGCACACAACCACGGATCTGCTGTGATTAAGTCAAAACAACAATCTGCTGTGAGCCTGTGGAGGTTTTTTCCAAGTTTTTTTCGATGATTTGAACTGTTCATATTGTAAGGTTTATTGAATAGATCATCCATGCAAAAAATCTAATTGATTAGAATCTATAACTTTATAACAAAAGCACATTTATTTTTTAATATATAAACGGTTGACATTATCTTGATAATTTTTATAAAACAATTTGAATATGATTATGGGATTACGGGTTTCTGATTAACTTGATTTTCTGTATGGATGATATACTCAGCGAATCTTACAATATAAACGGTTCTGATTATCGAAAAAAACTCAAAAAAACCTCCACAAACTCACAGTAGATCACTATTGTGACTTAATCACAGCAATATCCCAGGTCCCATAACCACTAGGTATTTCCTTTTACGCTAGATAATTTTTGGTGTTTGGGGTTTTGTCCTAATTAGTTTCCTACATATATGTTGGGTCTTTTGGCCCAACTTATAGATGAAAATATTTTTTTTATTTATTTTTATTTTTAATGATTTTTTTTTTAATTTTAATTTTTTTTTTGTTGATTTTTTTTGAAAAACATACACTAAAAATGTAAATAAGTAAAATTTTGTCTAAAAGCCTAAAAAAGTATGTTTATTTTTGTTTTTAGTGATTTATTTTTCAAACTTCTCAATATATATTTTTAATTTTTAGATACTATAGTTTAGACGAACTTGAAGATTTTAACAAAAAAAAAAAGAAAAAAAAAATTGACTCAAACTTGCTGAAAAAGAAAGCTTGAAGCTGTCTCACATTATTAGGTACTTACCCGGCATAAGCCTAGATTAGTCTCAAGAGTGGTTAGAATAGAACTTGACAACTTGAGATCTCCTAGGTTTATATTTTTACTAAAATGGAATTTTTTCTCAATGAAATGATAAAGAAATAGACACATGAATAGATTAAAAAAGAAAAGAATGGATTTTTTTTTCTTATTTCAGTTTTGTACAAGTATATTTATCCTTGGCCCCAAAAATGGGTGCTTTTACTACTATGATAATAAAAAAAGTAGCAAAATCAAGAAGGGCTTGGCAAACAACTAGACATAGGCATTCCTTCCCTCTTATCAAGCTTCAAAGTCAATGCCTTTGCCTTACTTGTATACAATTTTTTCACATTGGATTTTTGTTCATTAAGCAATTTCACTAAACTTCTCTTAGCATTAGCCCTAAATGGACAATTTGATGCTAAAAAACCATCTACCAAATGCAGATAAGCTTCCAAGTCATGGCAACATGCTACATCTGCATTTGGCTTTAGGTATGGAGACATTTTTGTATCAACTCTCAACTCTGTTCCAACATGTGAGTAAGCCCATGGCATGTTGTTGTCAAGCACGTCGAGCACCGCGGCTGCGCTTGAGTTCCTTAGCGCCTCATCGATTCCTTCGCTGACAAACATACCGGGAACTCTAGTGATCACGTCTTGAGAGTTCACAATACGTAATACTTTAACGTTGTTTGTGTTAATACGGTTTGCAAATCCTCGGTTGCCGACACGCGGGCCACCGAAGGAAAAAACTGCCACTGGTGGTACCGACTCCTCCGGTGCACATGTACTCAATTCATCAGCCACTAATAGGGCTAAGGCCGCACCCAGGCTATGCCCGGTCACGGTGATACTTAGGGTCTCACCCTTGTATAAATCCATTAGCCGGCGAATTTCTTCTACTACTGACTCAGCTAAGCTTGGCACGTGAGCACCACCTGTCTTGTATAGGCTTAAAAACCCACATTCCACCTTGGGTTGGCCATTGGTTTGGTCATCTTGGCCTGGGATTTGAACTAGCAGATCCCGAAAATTTTCTGCCCATTCAAGACACGTGGCAGTTCCACGGAGGGCAATCACGATATCCCTTCTTCCCATCCGTGCAATCTCCCTCTTATCGTCGCAAACTGCCACGTACCCGATCCAACTTGTCCGTTGGGTCATCCACCCGAGATCTGGTGCCACGTCATCCACCCACTTCGGCAACCCAATTGATGACGTGGCATAAAGACTCTTCGTCACCCTATATGACCTTTCCGGCAATGCCACATGGCGTAGGGACGGGGCTTCATCGGCTGACGTGGCGGGGTTTGAGTGAAAACAATGGTAAGCAGCCTGAATAAACTCACCATACCGGACCACCTCCCTCCGGAGATTCTCGTCGAGCGGGTCCACAAGGCCGGACCAATCATTGCAGCCGTGATATTCCCTCCACCGACTACCGAGATGGTTCCTCGGAGAATATTCCTGTTTCATCGACAATAGTCGTTGGAGGCGGTTAAGATTTCGAGGAGACATGTCCTCGGCTGCCTTCATTTCGGGCCAAATACGGGCCAATTTTAGGCCTTCCAGTAGACCTTTCCCTTTGTTTTCCGGCTGCCCACCATTATTGCTGATAAGTTTCTCAACTGGTTTTGGTGGGTCAAATGGATTGGGTTGAGACTGAGTTTGAAGCAACTTTTCAAGGTTGGATAAGTGTTTGCGAGTGGACTCGGTGGTTGTGACTGGTTTAACAGCTAGTGAAGTAGCCGTGGGCATTCTAGTTAATGGGTTCGATGGTGACCCACGACATTTGAAGCTGGCTCCTCTGTTCTGAAAGAGTTTGAGGTTGTTTGCCGGAAGTGTAGAACCCATCTGCATGGTATTAGGGAGAGAGAGAGAGAGAGAGAGGGGGAAAAAAAAGAGAGAGAGAGAGAGAGAGCGCTAGCTTAAACCAACCAAGTAGGATTGAATTGATCAACGAAGGTATATATAGAAGGAATAGATGGAATCCGTATATAGATGTGAGTCTTTGCTAAATGCCCTTGGGTTTAGATCACAATTACATGAACCCATAATTGTGTTTTCATTTTTTGTCTTGTGGTTTTTTTATTTTTTTGTGAAAAATACAAAATTTGTTTGGTTGACTTCTTTGAAAATCGGGTAATTATTTATCGATTGTTTGGGATGATTTAAATAAGTATATTTTTTGTCTTTTTACGAAAAGATGTGCAGAAAAATAGAGAGGTGATGTGATGAAAAAAAGATAAAAAGATGAATTATTTTGTGTATGCCAAACTTGGCCTAAGTCATTTCGGAGGATAAATACGTGTGATAATTCATAATATTATAATTGGTGGAAAAGGTGCGTAAATAAGATATTGTGTTAGATGATTAAGCAACATGAGGTGACATCATGAATAATGATTGATTAGATAGTGCAAACAGGTGATACTTCAGAAATATTTTATAATTTCACTTGAAAACTAGTTTTTTGAGACAGTTTAATTTGGAGGATCTTGTCCTGGTTTGTAGGGCCAAAAGGGTTTTATTTTAATAATTTAAATCGTTTATTTTGTAAATTCTTTTGTATATATTATTTATGAAAAAAATCCGATCGATAAGATAATCAACTTTTTTTATTTTATGGTTTTATTTATAAAAAAACTTAATTTTTTTTTATAGATAATATACATGAAAGGCCTTACAAAATGAACAATTTTTATTATCGAAATTGCACACCTGGACAAAAAAATAATTTTTCACACAAATAAAAATGATGAATATTTTTAAAAAAAATTCCAAAAAATACGAGAATGAAAATAAACACAAATAAAATAAAAGTTGTACTATTCATTTTAGGAGTTTATTTTTATTAATTATATGTTGTATTTGTTCTTTATCATTATTATAGTAATTTATTGAGTTTCATTGTAATATATTATATGAATTAAATTTTTTAAAAAAATAAGGGGAATTACATACTAGTGATGTCAAAAAAATTTACAAAAAATATATATATACATAAATTATAATAATTAAAATGATAATTTATTTAATAATTTTTTAAAACTCCTCCTAAATAATAATTTCCCCAAAACTATACTCAAATTACCATTTAGCATTTATCCTTAAAAAGAATAAAAAATAAAAGTCAGAAAAAGTATTTTTTATAATTTGAAATTGACCCCTTCTGTCCGAAAAGTCCTCTTGAAATACCCCTCACCGAGTAGAGAGCCATTTGCCGTTGAAATGTCACAACTGCCCTTTTCTTGCTCTCAACGTATTGTTTGACTAAACTCTCCATGTATACTGGACTTTTCGTACAGTTTTTTTTTTAAAAAAAAAAAAAAAAATTAAAAAGATTTTGTTAACCGTATCTATGTAAAAACTTTATAATATAATAAAGTATAAGGATGATTTGTTGAGACCAATTGAATTGGATGAAAAAAAACTTTTAGTCAACGACTCCGAGCATTCGCATCAAATTAGTTAAAATTATTTTTTAGTTAAATTAGTGATACTGTTCATCAAAAATAGATTGTATTAGTTTTATTACTGTTCATCGCTAATATACGAGTGTTACAATACCTCGCTACAACAAGTGAGGTAATGTTCATTGTTACAACGTGGAGATTAGTGTTATCAAAAGTCCGACCAGTCAACCGATCAACGATCATTTTTTTTTTTTTTACATTTTTTAAGAATTATTTGGTTAATAACTCATCAATTTAATAAAAAAATAAAAAATAATAAACATAATAAGAAGATAATATTTTAATAAAATTAAGTTAGAATAGAGAGTTTGATATAGTAAGTACTAAAGAGATGACTAAACTAAAATAGTGAAATAACTTTTTAGTTATAATTTGACTAAAAATTTAAAAAAGCTAATATAGATGCTCTTACTAACAAGTGTCAGACCAGTCAATTTCTTCACCATTAATTTTTCTTCCCTCAATTCAGACCATCAATCTGGATAGTACTCTATAAGAGAGGATAGGATTAGGGTAGCATTTACGTTTAAATTTGCATAAGAATGAGTGAGTGTATGATTACTTATAGAGAAATGTTATAAATAAATAGATTTTTAACATAAAAATAAAATTTATTACAACAATATTAGTTACAGTATAAAAGTATCTTGGACTACATTTATTTAAGAAGTGACACGCATAACACTAAATTAAATTTACATCACACACTATATTTTCATAATAAGTTTTATATAACATTTTTCAAGTCCATAACTTTTTTCTATTTATTAATGTGAAATCATTATCTTGTGATAAAAAAATTTAACGTGTAATTTGTTTATAAATGGTATTACTACCTACCCACCCACATTACTACCTACCCACCCAAGAAAAAGAAAAAAAAAAAAAAGGACGAATTCCATTGCAAGCAAATGAAGAGTACCTCTCCCTATCGTTGCGAAAATTTCACAATAATAAGAGTATATTTGTTTAATAATAATGAATTAGGGTAAATTAGTGAAATATTTCTTTTTAACTTTTAGTAATAGGAGAGATCCAATATATTTTTTCTTATTAGTTAAGGTCCCTCAATAATATTATTAGAGAAATTTTAGCTCAAATTTCTCTGTAACAAATTTTTCTGTAATGAGTTGAAATTTATCTATGAAATTTTTGAAATTTTCTTTGTAAAATTTCTTTTTAAAGAATTAAAATTTCTCTATGACAATGTGACCCAACAAATATGAAAATATTGTATGTTTTTTATATTATAAAATCTTAATATTATGGACCTTAAACTTAAAATCCAAAAAACTATGTTTATTTAAAAATTTTAAAAGAAGATGAAAAAACATCACAAAATACTAAATAATTTATGTTTCCTATCTGTCGCATGCCTACTTCATTGCTGAGGTTTATGTATATCCGACAAGCAATGGGAACTAGAATTTTTCATTTTTGACAAATCAACCATATTTTCCCATTGGTCACTCATTGATAATCTCTTTCTTTGTCAAAAAAGCTGAAGGGAGTGTTTGGTCGTGAGGAAGTAAAACTTGATGAGGCAGCTCTTCACCGGAGTTGATAGAGTAAAAAGGTTGAACATTGATTATTTGAATGAGACATTTATTTTAAAAGTAACAAAGATGAGAATTTCAAGGCTAAAGTAGTAGTTTGTCTCTCGAAGTGTTAAATTCCTAAAAGGTGATCACCTCCTGAATTTTGTCTGCGTATTTAGGTTATTAAAAAAAACATTTTCTGGTATGGACCAACTATAGCTACCCAAACGCGTACCTTAACACATTCACACACACATATATATAAAATGATGTTTGCATTTATCCATTAAGTTATTCCTTCTATTTTCTTAATTTTGATTGCTAAGAACAATCAATATACCTTTTCTTTTCTTATTATTTGGCACTTAAGTCGAAGATGAAATAATGAAACAATTTTCTATTGGCAATTTAATGTTTTTTTTTAAAAAAAAAATAAAATTTACTTTAAAAGTATTTATATTTAACCGAGTATATAGTTTTTTTTAAGGCGCAAACCCATCACAAACCCTAAAAAACTAGTTTGGCAATTTAATATTTTTGTATTTATGAGAAAAGGCAAATCAGTCTTGGTCTGTTCCCTCCTTTGAAATCGAAATAACCCAACCCGATTAAATTGGGTTAATTCAAAAATTAGAACTGCGGTTCCACATTAATTAATTAATTTATTTATTATAGATGTTTATTACAAAACAAAATAAGCAAATTATACTAGTGACTTCTATATTTTGCCTATTATGTCATTTTATTCCATATAATTTCAATTGTGTCAATTTTATTCTTTAATTTTATTTATTTATTTATTTTTATGCTGTGTCAATTTAATTTAATTGATAACATTCATTAAAAAAGTTAATAGAAATAAATGACAAAATTATCCTAAAAAAGAGTTTGGTACCAATTTGTGGTGTTTATATAGCACCAATTTATGGTTTGAGTTGTGAGTTTAACCCCTATAGAGAGAGGAGTTTAATATTTTTGTGGTGTTTATTTCTCCCTCAACTCAAAGTTGAATATAATTATTTTATTCTTATTTCTTCTCTAGTTTTTACTACTAGTGACTGTTGGACTTTCTAATTACCGTTTTGAACTTTAATTGTTCAATTTGATATAATATTTTTCATATTTGTAATTATTTTTTTACTGATTAACTAAAAAAAAAAATTCACAAAAAGAGAACAGATCATTTCAAACTAGATGTTAATCCTTAAATCACTTTGAAGAGAATAAGGGTTTGTTTGGGAAGTAGGTTGGTTTTTTTGGCTATTTTAACATGGGGCTAAAAAGTCTGGTTTAAGAAGGGCTTTTCACTTTTTTGACTTTTTTGTAAGAGAAATAATGTAATGATTATGGGTTAGATGTGATATTTTGTCTTATTAGGCTAAAAAGCCTATTTTATTTTTTGTGACTAAAATAGCCAAAAAAACCTGGCTTTTAGCTTCCCAAACAAGCCTAAATGGACTATTTTATCCCTTAATTTTAGTCTAATTTCTAAAATATTATCAGTTGGACTAACACTATAAAAAAATAAGGTTTTAAAAACTAAAATTTAGGGACACACTTATTTTTTGGGGACCAAATATTTTTGTTGCGAAAAATATAGTTATTATATTTTTAGCAATGAAAATTGGAAATTAGTGATGAATTATTATCTTTTTCAGACCAAATTATTTTGTCTCTAAAAGTGTATTTATTAGCAACATTTTTAAAATTTTGTCTTTAAAAGTCTTGTTTTTGACTTTTTGAGATGATCTTTTTAGCGACTATCCTCGTGACGATAGAAATTGGTTCTTAAATGTCTTTTGCAACAAAATTTTCATTTTTAGGGACTAAAAAATTTGATTCCTATAATTCTTATATGTTGTAGTGTAAATTAATATAATTCGTAAATTTTAAATGTAAAATTGATATAATTAA